TTTCTACTGATATATAGTTTGTTTAGGTTTTATTGAAACTGGCGCACGTACGAATTTTTTCCTGAAGGGCACCCGCGAAGGTGGGAAGTAACCTTAATTTGTTGAGGTTGGTAACTCTGTCTTTGTATTGAGGCGAGGTATAAAAATGAAACAATAAGATTTTCATGTGACGTCTTCGCCGCCATGTTGGCGTTCAGTAACAAAAGATTTTTAATCAACATAACTCATTAACTGTATTTTGTTTTCGATTGTCAGTGCCACCACCACGCCTTTTTCATCTCGTCCCTCGCGATTTATTGGAGACAACCTATAGACAGTCCCTTTTCTTATTTTAAACACGATTGAAGTTAGCGCCAAAGTAAACAAGCCAAATTATAAATGAAGAATCAAAATGAATCATTTCTTCATCGACAACTCAACAACATCAACTGATTTCAAAATTATGGGTTTTTTTTTCTTGCAGTGTGTTCGGGGTGTTTTGTATTTTCAACTCACTCACCTTAACTCTGATCGTGTATTCGCGTAATTTCCCTCTCACTGGTTCTGTTTATAATGCATAACCCTCGTACGGCTTGTGATCACGTTTTTCCGACGTGCACTATTACTATTTACATTTAGCTTTGCGCAAACGTGACGTGACGAGTCCGACGAAAGTCTAATTGTCCATCGTATATGCTACACAACATGTCCCTGTACACTAGATGACTATGCCTACTTCCGCATTCCAGTTTTATGCTTTTGGCGCGTTTCTTTGCGATGATCCGGACCAGGATCAATGATTCAAGCTCACTTGAATCATGGTGGACCAAGGCACCGATGAATCTTTTCCCAGAGTCAAGATTCATCGATTCTTTTGATGCACCATTATCCAAGGCCTTAGATCACTAATCGTGATCCAGATCATCCCAAACTGACGCCCAAAACCATGGGCCGTAAAAATTGACACTTTTTATTATAATTTTGAATTTTGTATCAAAAGAAAACCAAATGCGTTGAAAGAATCGCAAAGAAAGGAATGAAACTGGTACCCTAAATAGAAACCCCTCTGGAAACCAAAGTACGTTTCCCTCTAGATCAGTTTCTGGACTAAGCGTCCAAAGACGGTCGAAACTTCGGCCATGAATATGTGTTAGGAGCGTGGCATCTATTGTATACAAATGAGTAAAAAAATCAATTAACTACCATTGATAATTTTCAGGAGTAGGTGATCATGACAAAGGAATTGGTGTGCAACAAAACAGTATTTTTCTATCCGTTTGTGAAGGATGTAATATTCATGTCGCGTATATTGACTTAGAGGGAGGGGGCCGAATACTTTACCCGTGCTAGTCTGCTGGCAGCCGTTTTTTCCTGTAAGGGTCACTAAGACGAGTGTTCAGTCATAGCGAACGCAAAAGGGCGGTATGGCGGTGGCCAAAACGTCTCGCCTCATAACCCCTACTGAATTTCCAGAGAAAAACGGACTGCCAGCAGTCTATCCCCGTGCCGTCTCACCCAACTTCATCCCTAAACTTTACGTTATACGGTGGCAAGCCCTTGCCACAAATATGTGGCCTTAATAACGGGTTGGCTGAAAGGCAGGGCTCCTCTGTACCTACTTTTCCGAGCTTGAATTTGTTGATGTTGTAATGGACCTTTGTGGCCCTGAATAGGCTAATTGCGATGTATTGAAATATAGTGACGAGGCTCGGGGAACTCGAACAAGTTTACTTTTTTAATTCATCCCTCAACCTCGACGCGTTTTTGTTTCGTTTGAGTCACCGAACTTGGCCTATTGCGCAAGCTAAATGGAAGCCAAATAGTTGTTGACATGCCCACGGCCGGCGTTTTGCCTTGCAACAACTGTGACTTCATTTATACCCATCTGGCCAAAGTCAGTTCACAGTATTGTTTCCACAGGTTAAAACCAGTGGGGTTGTAAGGTGGCGTCAAACAAATTTCACAATATTATTATTTCACAATATTATTCTTCGTCTCCGCCCACACTATGCCAGAGAAAATTGAAAACGCAACAATCACCGGTCATTTTGGATATGTGTTTGAGGAAAACTAAGACCAGAAAATTACACAATTATCGTGACGTCACCATTTTAGAAAAGCTCCGGTTTCAAAAGTTTTTCAGTCCACACTAAAATGTAAAGCCTGCGCCGGTTTTCGAATTCCTCCGCTTTTAAGAACGTTTACGAAAAGCTCCGTTTACCAATTAGTGTGGACGGTAGGTCTCAACTTAGAAATATGGCTGCGTTTGCAAATTTCTCCTGCGTAATGTACACAGGGCCTTATCTGAAGTCTTTTTGAAACAGGGAAGTTCATAACTGAAATGTAATTAAATCCATGAACACGTGAAAATTCAGACAAAGTGGGAGTTTTTATTACGTCTCTTTTCTGACAAGGCTCTTTCTGACTGAGATTCCCCAATCTCCGCTAGGCTGTAGGTCTTCAGCTCCCCATTCTTTGGGTGCAGGGTCAGCCCAATCCTTGGTCTCTACCCAATCTTTTGCGGCAGGAGCAGCAGCTTCAGTACCCCATTCTCGAGATGAACCCCAGTCTTCACTGGCACCAATGGTGGGAGGTACAGTAGGAGCCCCCATTTGTTCAGCACCCCATTAGAAATGAAATATGCCAAAATATAAGACAAAAAATTACTATAAACCACCTTTGTAGTAGTGTAACTTATTCAACTACCATTTTCAAGCCCCCTGGTCATTGCTGACACAAACGTAACAAAGTGAGGACACCAGAATTAAGGTGGCTTCTCCGTGAGAACAGCTGTTTTCAGTCTAGGTTTCCATCTTTTTATGTCACAGTTCATCACTGAATTTTAGAGAGAAAGAAGTGATGGAATACATTTTTCAGGTTCTTCCTTTCTGGTATCTGTAATTTTGTGAGATTCAAAGATTTCTCCCAGGCATCATGATCAGATTTCATTGTTACATACCAGGGGGTGGGGGGGGGGGTATTACTTTGGGGAGTGTGCATTTCTTTTGTAACTATAAGGTGTTGGGCTTCTGAGTTTTCATGCAACATAACTTGGTTTCCTGTAACAAGGTTTGGTGTTGCATGAAAAATGGATCATTTATACCTCTTTAGAAACCCATTGTTGATTTGACTGGCCAAACAATGTGGAATATAAAAATAAGAACAAACACAATGAGTTAATGAAAGAAACGATAAACTACCGCATCAAGAAGATTTGAATGTGTTGATAACTTACTAAGCTTCCTCAGCAACACTTCACCATAGCTGTCCCATATTACTACAGTGTAGCTGGTAGTCACCTTTTAACTACTGGCTCATGATAAAAATCTGAAGTCACTGAATTGGGTGAGCGAGTATTTTTAAGACGTGTCCCTTTGTACAGGACTATAAAAGTACTAGTAGTACCACTGGAAGAGGAAGGTGTCAGATCAGGAACAAAGGTAAGGTAACGTCTGCATTTCCAGCCCATTATCTCCCGGGAATCATGGACAAAAGTGAAGAGAAAGTTTGCATTCGAGTCTAGTTGCGCATCAGGCACATTTCTGATCTCCACTGAATGAGAAGCCAGTTCATTGCAGGGTTATCCACAGCATTTATTTTCACTAGTGCCTACACCGTATTTATACACCTGGATGAAGACAGGCACAGTTAGATGGATCAGTTTTGTCCAAGAACAGAACTCAATGACCCTGGCCAAAGCCCTAACCCAGAGCTAATCATTTGCCCACCACTCCTCCAACAGTGCTTTTCAGAAATTGGCATTTTAAAACTCAAGTACCAGTTTTCTTTGATTTAAAATATTTTCTTTCATCTGTAATAACCAAGTACTTCACTGATCCCTTTAACAGATAGACAGCAGTGTCACTCACCTCGTCAGTCTGCTGGTCAACTACACCACCCCACTCAGTGAGATGACCGCCGTGGTAGGCTGCTGTGCCTCCTCAGCCGGTTTGATGTTGAATTGCAGCCTGTTCTTCTTTCTCAGCCTGGTAAGAAAATAAAAGAAAGCCCTGGTTAGCCCACCACTAAAAGGGCAGGGTTGCCACCCACTGGGAAAAAAAAAATCCCTGAATTTTCCGTGACTTTTCACAGACTGTAAAGCAATTTCCCCTGACTTTTCCCTGACCGTGCAGCCCTGATTTTCTAGAGCATAAAGCATGTAGAAGCCGCTACTTCCCTTTATCCTGGGTCCACAGACACTGAGACAGGTTATCCCGTCAATATTGCCAGTTGAGAAGGAAATGGAAGAAGATGCTCTAGCGAGGACTCTCTACCTCTGGATGTATGTATATAAAGTCAAATGCAGCAGTTTTGAGTGTGAAATGAATTTCTGTTACGAGTATCGTTGTAGAACAGGGTTGTTTCTAGACAGAACTCAGGATCGCTGGTAACAGCAACAAACTAATTTATTTCCGTAATGTAACTTCGTGAATTTACAGCACTAAGCTTCTTCAAATTTGAATCAATCTCTCTTACAGCAGGACCTCTCGCTCTAATATACCTGAGGCTTAAAGTTCTAGAAACTTCTATTTGGAACTAAATTAAGTAGTTTGACACAGTTTCTAATCTGAGTAATTACATAAGTATTAGAATGTTCTGGAATGTCCTTATACAAATTGGTCACGGCTGAATGACTTCAGGTTCTAGATTGTTCTAGAACTTGACTTAGACAATTTTTCGTAACAATTTCTTTGGTGTTTTATTAGGATATCCTTGAAAACTACCAAAACGTATTGAAAACTTTTGTTATAAATATGAAACCCTCAAAGCTGGCAGATAAAATACTGCTTGAAACACACCAAAATGCTCAACTCGAATTCCAGGTCTTTTCTTGCCAACTTTCATGATTGCAAAATCTATAATTTTGAGTTTTATTTTGCAAATAAAACTCTCCTCTTAAAATTACACCCTCTCTCCTCTTCTCTTTGACTACTTTTTATGGCATGGTGTGCATTTCAATTAAAATTTTCCAGTTTAGATGGAAGCTTATTTAGAGGAGGGACAGTTATTCAAGGGTGTTTGTCAAGGAAAAACAGTAATTTTTTGTCACCTCTTCTGGATCCCTATAGAAGTAGAGATCAGGCATAATTTCCCATGGAATCTGCCGGCTGATGCTGCCACGCATGCGGAGCACCTCCCTTGCCAGCATCCACCACATTAGACCAACAGAGTGTGCACCTTTGTTATTGCAAGGGATTGCTACATCCACATGGTGCAGTTGAGAGTCGGTGTTGCAGAATGCAATAACTGGAATATTCACATAGGATGCTTCTGTTACAGGCTGAAAAAAAGGGACAAAGCTCTTAAAAAACAATACACTTAGGGAGAATTGTCAGTGATAGCATTACTTTGAAGCCCCAAAACAGACCTAGGGTATAGGAAAGCCAACAATAGGCTTTCTTCAGAAATTTGATTGCCAATTTGTTTTTCCCAAAATTCTATATTTTTCCTTCTAGACATACATTCAACATCTACACCAAGTTTTCATCACCAGGGGTGCATGTGAAACTGCAAATTTGTTCAGGTACTGGGATATAATAATCAGTTATAATTCTCAAATTAATGCAAACTATGTGGATAAGTACTTCAAAATTAATTTTTGGTTTCATGTGGTGACATATTTTTCACATCTGTTGTGTTTTGCCTTTCTAAAGGCTCTCAAAACATGGCCAATCATAAAAAGAGATCAACAAATAATAAGTTGTTACCTGGTTATCAGTACGTGGGTCACAGACAACTAGCAGACGTGGTTCCCTGAAGGCTGCTTGGATCTGACTGGTAAACGTACCAGGAGTGACGCATCCAGCAACAGCAGTGGTTCCAGTGTGGTTTGCAAATTTCAATATAGCACGCTATCAAAAATAAATCGCAACCAGTAAATAAAAATTCAACTGCTCTAAACAAGCCTAAAGCTTACAGTCACGTAAATAAAAATTCTAATAGCTTTCTACATGTACTTTGAAATAGCAATTTAATACATTTATTAAGGAATGAAAAGTGTGTTTTAGTGTTTCAAAAAATGAAAGTAACTAAATTTGTTCAGCATGCAAAGGAAGTCCAATTCAAAACAGGACTTCACACTTCCTCCACAAAGTGAGACATTTAGGGTTAAGATGTTCAGAGTAATGAACCATCTGATCATCAACTTACCTGTCCATAGGGCCTTGCTGAGATCACACAAACATCAGAAGGATTTTCAATGCCAACAATGATACGAGCTGCAAGGAGCAGTTTCTCCCATGTCTTTTTTAAATTGATGATGTGAACACCTGGTTAAAAACAAAGGCAAAAACCTCTTTCACATGAGTACCAAAGGGGCAGACCAGACTGTCCTTATTATGGAGGTAGGTGAGCTAGAGGAAGAGCTTATACGAAATTGGTTTCACGATGACCAAGTTAACTGTCCATAAATGATATTAGAGCCCTGTCTGTATTATAGAGGTGCCTGTAAGGAGAATTTTAACTGTAGTAGTACAGAAAAACCTTTTCTTAGGGATACCTCCACAACATATAGCAAATTCTATAAATTATTAAGGACAGTTCACTGGATACCAAAGACACCAGAATTCATACGACTTCTTAATATGCTAATGAGGAAAAAGTTTGATCCACTATGGTCTAAGCTCTCATAAGCGACCACCTCCCGCACGCGACCACCTAGGCTTGACATTTTGGGTGGTCGCTTACGGGCGGTTCAACTGTAGTCGTACACTGGTCACACTTGTTTAATTTTTCTCTCTCGCGCTAAAGAAGTTGAGCATTTTTTTATTTCTCCTGTCAAACCTGCTATAAAAACCAGCTCTACATCCAGGTTGAACAGTAAACTGTCAATCGACATAACATGGGAGATATTGGCCTTCCGATTTACAGTAAATTTATGTGTCTCAAAAGCAACGTGGAAGTACACTACAACTTTTCGCTCGTTCATGACCAAATCTTTTTATTTCAGAGAAGCATTTGACAAGAAGTCCTCTGATCCGCCATGGTGGCTCCCCTTCCGGGCCGACCGAAACCGGCCATGTTCGGAACTCCCAAAGTAAAATTTATCAGAACTTTAAAACATCCATTTCATAGTTAGGATTCCAAAGCAAGACCATATGCAAAATTTCAGCCAAATCGGTGCGGTACCGTGGCCGACCCTAACTCAAATCTTACGGAGTATGCCTCTTAAGTATTCAGCACGTGTTATTCGGAGTTGTTACGTGCACTTATACATTTTATCCCGAAAACCTTTGTTGCAACAGCAGTTGTCGCAACAGCTGTATATCGAAATTGGCATTTCACAATAGAATTTTATAAATAATGGTAAGGTTAATCCAACAGGTTTGTTTTATTGCAATGTTCAGCAAAAAGCTAATTTAGAATTTATGACGTACATGCAGTCTTGTTCCGGTAATGATTAAGATACGCAGGAGGTAGGCCTTTTGAAAAGTTTTATTGAAAAACGTTGTTCTGGCTGTTTAAGATTTTTGGGAAAAAGGAATAAGAGAAAACTACCCATCTTAAGAAATGTAATATCGGCGCTAACCCTATCCCTAACCCTACTTGATTTTAGACTTGCAACATGCAGAATCCTGAAAGATTCAGTTTACACTAGCGGTACCACGAGGACTGCTGCAGAATTAGTATTTCGGAAGTTTCCTTGTTACGTAGCCCTTCCCGGCGCCTAAGAGCCTTTTCAGGGGGCACAAACGTCAGTTAATTAAAGAAAAAAAAGCTTACAGTTCAACAAGATTATGCTTTCTTTTGACCTGTAGTAGTTATCGTTTTCCTGGCCTAGGTCTTTGTTGAAATGTATACTTCCAAGTTTCTAACAAAATATGGAATTATCCTACTCCAAATTTTCAAGATGATGCCGAGAACAAACCCTCAATAAGAGCTTATTGATTGAAAGACAGGGCCTTCCTCGAGCGAGAGTCAAATATTTTCCTGTCGGTGTCCTAACCGCACTCTAAGTACACAATAACGTATTGAGTTTGATATGGAGCTTGATTTTGTTGATATGTTGTAAAAATGGCCGTTGGTAAATGTTCTGAATAGGCTATTACGTTTTGATATATTACAATTCTACCATGATGGCTGGGCTTACGGAACTTACAAAAGAAAATTTAGTAATTTATCGCTCAACCTCGATGGGTTTTGTTTTCGATCCAGTCCGTGAAGCTCAACGCCAACTTTAAATATAGAACTTTAATAAATAGAACTTGGCCTGTTGCGCACGCTAAATAACTGTTGTCATGTGCACAGCCGGATTTTTGCTTAGTAAAAATCTCAGTGTCAACCTCAGTTCAACCCGGCCGGCCTGAGTCAGTTTGCAGTATTGTTTCCATAGGTTCAGACCAACGAGGCTGTACGGTGGTATCAGAGAAATTAATATTTTCTTATCTGAAGTCTTTTTGAAGCATGGAAGCACCTATCTGAAATGTAATTAAATCCATGAACACAAGAAAATTCAAACAAAGTGGGAGATTTCGTTTAGCTTCTTTCTGACAAGGCTTGAATGCACGGTAAGTCACAGTTTAGGCCCAGTCCGCTCCAGCACTCATTCGCGATCCTGCATGGTGACAGAAGCTCCTCTAGCGGTTTGTAATTAGCGTAGCATTTAGTGATTCTATTTCCGATTTTTTTTCAATTATCAATCTCCTCGAAATGGGCACAACAAAAAACCGCTAGGAAAACTTTAACACCACTCCAATTATAAACGGCTGCTGGGATGAAACCAGTGTTAACTTAGATCAGAAAAGTCAACCACCCAGCTACCAACATCTAGGTAGAGCACCAAGTGTCATCTGTCGTACAGGTCGTAGGAGTGGAAATACTCTTTGTTTGCAGAGAAGGAATCGGATCACGCTGTAAACTTTTTCGGACAGTGCCGTTGATGATTGTATACCCCTTTTGCCGTGTAGGAAACACCTCCAGACATCGCACAGACATGTGCGCTTTACACCCAGAGCATGTCATGTGATAGCATCCCTCATTCTTTTCAATTGGCGTCTTACATATGGGACAGTTCAAGCTTTTCCCTGGGTCCTTCATCATCCATTCTTCCATTCTCCTCTGAGTCTGAAGTTCGTGGCTGCAGAATTCGACATGGATCTTTTGGACACCAGGAATATCTTGCAATCCTTTCAGATCGACACCAAATCTCTTAAAGAGAGCTTTCAGCAGCCCACGCTGCTTGTTAGGTTCCTGAAGCCGAATCTGCCACGCGTGAGCATCACTTGTGATGAAGTCATCAAGAAACTTGTTGATAGCGAATTTTGCTGATTCCAGTCTGGTTTCAACACTAACCTGGGTTTCCTTGACAGTGTCAATGATTGCGGTTTTTCTTGGTATATTGGATGGGCTGCCTCAAGCCTGTGGCATTCTCTACCAACAGCGGACCTCAGTTCCTTGATTGTACGCCTTACACTTGACAACGACTGACATCTTTGGTCACGCAGGCAAGAAATTATCTGAGATTCAAAGCGTTGAAATTCATCCTTCTGTAGCTCTAGCGCCTCGCTTTGATAGGCATAAACGCTTTAGAAGAGCACATATCTCTTTTTAGTATGCATCTTTTCTTGAATTTCCTTTGGCAATTAGCCAGTAACGTTTCTGTAGTAATTGCTAACTCATCACTGGAAGTCCTTCTACCTTCTAGATCTTTACCACTTTGGGTCGGGCTGACAGGAGTCAAATGCTCTGAGGAATGGCTGTTGCTATGACGATGTTAATGAGAATTTTCATCGCCTTGTTTATCACCATGAAATTCTAAATCATCACTTGCATGTGGAATTATAGCTTCTTCATCGTCATGAACGTTTCCTGTTTGGGCTAATGGGCTCTGGGATCTGCCATTTAGACCGTCATCTCGTTGGCCATTTCCTGCGGCATCTATAAATTAATCCATTAAATAGTGTGCTTAGAAACATAGCACATGACAGATGTGATTCTGGTTGCATTTTAATCGTGAAACTTGTAGGCCATGTTCGTGGAATTAATGATTCAAACAAACACATCTCAGCTAAGACTCCCACCTGCCTGGGACCTCACCTTGGAATAGAGACATTCAGATTCCATTCAAGACGTGTACCTTAACCATTCTGCCACACTGCAGTTTTACAGTACTCGGTGTATAATCAAAATTAAACTTTCTTCCAAGGCATCAAAGTACCCAGATTTATTTTCACAAAATGCTATGAGGCGCCTTACCTGGTCTCTTTGAGAGGTACTCCTTACATGCCAGGTAATCGTCTTCTGAAATAGTTGTTTTCAACGTAATGGACTCCAAATTGAATTTTCTCTTAATTTCATCCGTCACTAGGAATTTTTCCGCCATGCGATTCAGTTGACCAGAACGATAGTCTTGCCATAGACGTTCGAGACTTTCCAGAGTTAGGCACTTGACTTCTATTCTTAAACTATCCCCACTCGGTGTTACATCATGAATCAAATTCAGAGGCTCAGTGTTCTGAGATTCTTCCTCAATAGGAATGGTAGCTGCCATTTCTTCTGCCCCTGCCTCCAAGAAATTTTCAGATGCCATTTGTTGCATTCCTTGCTGAATAGTATGTTCTGCTTGTGTGTCTGCTAACAGTGAACATGTAAGATACAAGAAACAAACCCATTATATCAACAATGTTTCTCTTGAGCCCTGCTCTTTTAATTGGGAGAGAGGTTGCCATAGCCGAGTGTAATTGGGTTGAAGATTCAAGTTTGAGCCCAGGCTAGTCCAGGCTAGTCCAGGCTAGGTTCAGACCCTTTATGCCGGAGGGTGGGGACTCCCATAAGAAAAGGTCAGGGATAATCATCGTCTCACTTAGGGTGTTCAGGCCACTATTTTTAGCTGTCAAAGTATCTTTTAGGGTGCACTCAAAAAGATAGCTATGAAAAAACGCTCTCATCTCCGTTTTGAGGCTCAATTTGTGCCATTCTCTCGAGTGCAGTCTACTAGCCAAGGCTCCTTCCCTGAACAGCGGCTGGTAATCAAGCCTATTTCATTTTACGCAGTGTCTTTAGGGGTCAAATAAAGCCCTAGCCACGCTCAAATTGGTCTTCTTTAAGGGTTTAATTCAAATTTTCCGACGAGAATCACCGTCCTTTTCATATGGGAATCCCCCCAGGCCCCTTATTCTCCCAGTGCCTCTGTTCTCCAACCAGGAGTTTTGTCGGGATGAGCTGACGAAATGCTGGTGGGTTATTACTCACAATCTATTAGAAAAAGAAGTTACCATACAAACAACCCAGCAACCGAAAAAACCTAGTTAAATGGAGCGCATGCACAGTTAGTAAACAATTGCTACCGTATCGCTCGACCGACAGAAAGATATACTACGAAACTCTCCAACGAACCCAACTTATTTATTAAACACTAGCCATGTGAGCTCGTCTTTGTGCTGGATCTTTCTTTAAGTCGCCGTGGGCTTCGCTATTTTGTGCTCTCAGCGTTGGATTTTGGTGAATTTAAACGCTTCGATGGCAACATTTATCGAAATCTGAGGGAATTGTCCTTGTTTATTTTATATCGTGACGAACACACGACTTTGAATCGATCGCCATGGCTCAGCCATATTTTGATTAGCTTTTGATTGCATTTGTTGATTATTTCCAGTCGCGACAGATACATGTAGCTCAGTCTTTATCCGGTTAAATATTGGTTGGAATCGGCGGAAAAGTATTCTGAAGACAACGTGCATAAGCTAAGAGTGAGCCTGAACCAAGGAACGGCAAATTATGTAAATACTGTCTACTATATTCATCAGTGGAAATACTCGAATCAGTCGCACGGAGTTTGTTTACGATGACGATAAACGAGCGCAGGATTGCAAATGTTTGCTTATATTTGTGCTTCCAGCT